AGTGTGATCTAGATGCCCTCTTTTTTTTAATATATATCTAAGCCTGGCAAAGAAAGCCAGAGGCAGATAGATAATTGAGTCAAGCGAACAGTAGGCACCATAAGTAAAGTGTGTGAATCACTGTGATTTATAGTATGTATTAAAAGTTTGTATGGAGGAAGAATAAACTGGGTTAATCAAGAAAGGACTTGTATCGCTGAAGTTTCTCGGAAAGAATTTATACCGGAAATTAACAAACAAACAGATACGTAACACAATAATATAATAAAAGTTCAGAAGTCACGCAAGCAAACAACTTAACAACTTCGAGTAGCTCGTCCATAATATAATTCGCCAGCTTAACGCGAGCTCCAAGTTCCCCCAAATGATTTACAATTTATAATGGCAAAAATAACACTAGTACTTCTGTAGTAGTTAAACACTGTTTATAGGGCATTAAAAAATAAAATTTGAGTATAAATAGATGGATACTGTTAAAAGTTTAAAGCTACTTAGGATAAACAAATGTTGTTTCATGTTATAATCCGAAGTCATTCTAGAAAGGAAAATGGATAATTTAGATTTATTTTGTTTTTTGGTGGTTACGATGTCAGTCAAATTGACCAACCTTGTATAGAGATAGCGCAGAGAAAATAGATAAATTATAAAGTTTTACTGAAAAACAAAACAAAAAATAAACGTATGAAATGCATTTAGGAGGTTTAAGAGATTACCCAAATGACATTTGAGATTTTTGAGAAGTATTTTAATCTTAACATGAAAATCATTTTGCACTTGGACTGGTAGGAAAAAAAAAGACAATATATTCATGGACAAATCTTTAGTAAAAATACTTCATTAGAAAACTGACTTATTTGTGTAGGAACGACTTTTAGTCTGTTAAATTTTATTAAGATACACATATTGTTTTAAAAGTTATAGTATTAAACAAAATACCAGTAAAAATGGTCACGTCAGCCTTTGGGACCGAGCCCATATCGAGAGTTCGTGAGTAGCTCAATGCTAGGCTAATCTGCAGGCACTGATCGGGCGCATTTGAAACGTCATGAACAGACCACTAAAAAGTGTACGTGTATGCGATATGAACATGACAAAGTGTGAAAATAATGTATGCGCCGTTTGACTGGACTTTCCGAGAAATGAACATCAGCTTTGGTATATGAAACTGAAACATTACGACACTTTCACTGCATTACGGGAGGTCTCGAAGACAACATACAAGAGAAAGGAATGATTCACACCTTTTGCCAAGTAAAGAGGAATGTGATTTGCAACTGGGGTTGTTCTTATTCGCAAATAGCGACGCGAACCCAGATATTTTTTACCCCTGCACTCATTAAGACCTCTACCAGCCTACCCTCAAATTGAAATTCTTTTAGGCATGATTAGAGTAAATTAAGCCAAGACCTTGAGCGTGGTCAAATACATCAATCGAAAGGGTTTGATCTTCTGAGTCCAAAACTGTAATCAGACCTCAAATCAAAAGATGATAGAGCTATGAGCTAAAACTTTGTACTTGAAAAAACTAAGCCGTTCTATGACCAGCTATGCCGTGGCTAAAAATAAAGTATGTTTCTTTTATTATGAATTTCACATTTGCCAGAATTATTGAAGATTGTCAATATAATAGATAATTTTTTAACTTGTAGAACTACATTCTAATAACTACTTTGTAAAACCACTATCCCACTATCCAAATCTGAAATGTAATCCTGGTATGCACATGTAGAAATTAGCTTGGGGATCCATTATACCCAAATTGTACCTCAGTTATTAATCAAAATTTTGCTCTGTCACGTAGTTCAAACCACAGCTATATATAACAGGTTAACAAGTTCAAGCATGTGAATGGCACTAGTTTAACAGAAGCAAGTACATGGTGTGTTTGTGGACAGCTTACTGGAATACAATAAAACTGTATGCCTAGTTATGTTGTATACTTATTGAATTTGTATACATACTATACATGGGTACATAATGGACCGAAGCAGTTACAAAGTGGATTTTCTAGGTAGATTTTATTTAATGAACTTCTTAGGCACATTAAATTCAATGTTTTCAGTATGTTCAAGCACATGAGTACAAATAAAGTGTTAAGTGTTTAGTAAAAGAAACAGTATTCAGTTTCTTACCAAAGTCAATACACACAATTAAAGAAACACTAGAATATAGACGAACCCACTGTTTTGTGCAATCGTCTTATACAGATCTTTTATTTGAATATACATGAACAATGTAAATGCTAAATCAGTCTGAATACCTATAATATACAACAAATATATATTCTCAAGCAAACTAACCAACGTCAAATACACCA